AGAAAGTGTTGGATAAGTAAATCCAAACATTATAGTTGTTACTTCTTTAAATAGAAATAAAAAATCCTTAATTTTTTCAAGTTCAGCCCATTGATTCTCTGTAAGTAAATATTTTTTAAGATCACGATCATTAAGTGTATGATAACAGAATCAATGGCCTAATTATATAATTAAAATTAATAAATAATTGAAATTATTAAAAACTTAATATTTACAAAAATCAACTTACAATTTTTAATTGTAATGATCTTGAAATCATTTCGTAAGTGGAATTCCACCTTGTGGGTACGTCAGGTATAAGTGTTAAATCCTTTAATTGATTATTTTTACATGCCATTTTTAATTTTTCACGACGTAAAGAAGATGCACAAATTCTATTAACAAGATCTCTAAGCTGTAAGATATAATAATTTTATTAGTATTAAAAAAAGAATTTATAAAATAATAAATAAGTTAAATAATAATTTTACCTTAGAAATTTCACTTTCCAATTGGGTCAATGCTACTTGAACACTTAAATTAATGACATGGGCAAAACACCTAAAATGATTATCATTTTTATCAAAAAAAATTCTTTTTTCTATTGCCCAATTAGTTAATAAACGAATGAATACTGCATTATTTGACGCATTATCTAATGTAATGTCCAACAGTATATGTTGTAATTTCCAGTCCTTATTAATAAAATGTGCAGTTATTGATAAAAATGATTTGACTGAAGAACTGGTCCAGCAGTCAATTGTAAATGAAATTTTTCCTGGAATATTTAACAAAATATTTTGAACTTTTTCTCTGTCAGTTCTATAAAAATTCGAAATATGAGATTTAATTGTGTCAGCACTGGGAATTTTCGCAGTTGGGTGTAATGAATGTATAAAATTGATAAATTCTGGCTCCTCAGCAATTGTAAATGCATGTTGTTTAATAACAATCCATTTTACCAGATTATTTATCATTTCATTATGATCATATGACCACTAAATAATAATACAATTATCTATTAATAAATAAAATTTATGAAATAAAAATAAAATAAGAAGTTATTTTTACCTTTGGTGCTTTTAACATTTCTAAAACATTTACTCCAGTTGACTGAGTTTCTTGCTGTATAGAATGAACATTTTTTAAATGTTTTGTTATATTCGTAGTACTACCCCAGAACATATATAAGTTTTGCTGCAATAAGTACAGGTAGCTCTTTTATTATATTTAAAATTTTCATCTTTTTCGAAATGGCTCCATACAAAACTGCCTTGATTATTTTGAGCATTTTCTAACGATTCTAAATTACTTAATCTTCTTGCTGGTGTTGCCGGTAGGGACGCATCAATTTCATCCTCAGAATTATGACAACTTCCTTCATTGTTGTCTTCTGCGTCCATAGTTAGTTTACAAAAAAAATAAACCGAAAATCTTTAAAAAAAATTTTTTGGTGCTACATATGTTGGTTGATAAACATCATGATTATCAACTTAGTGTTCCAAACGGATCAAATCGGATGAATCTGATTTTGACTCGAATCCATTATTTAAAAAACGTTACGTAACGTTTTTGATTTCAATTTAACGAATAAAAAACCGTTTCGCAACAGTTTTTTAATCATTTAATAAAAAACGTTGCGAAACGTTTTTTATTCCAATTTAATGAAAAAAAACCGTTTCGCAACGGTTTTTTAATCATTTTAATAAAAAACGTTGTGAAACGTTTTTTATTTCAATTTAATGAAAAAAAAACCGTTGCGAAACAGTTTTTTAATCATTTTAATAAAAAACGTTGCGAAACGTTTTTATTCCAATTTAACGAATAAAAAAAACCGTTTCACAACGGTTTTTAATATTTTAATAAAAAAACGTTTGCAAAACATTTTTTTATTCAATTTAATGAAAAAAAACCGTTCCGTAACGGTTTTTTAATCATTTTAATAAAAAACTGCGAAACGTTTTTTATTCCAATTTAACGAATAAAAAAAACCGTTTCGCAACAGTTTTTAATTATTTTAATAAAAAAACGTTGCGAAACGTTTTTTTATTTCAATTTAATGAAAAAAAACTGTTTCGCAACGGGTTTTCAATTATTTTAATAAAAAATGTTGCGAAATGTTTTTTATTTCAATTTTAAACGAAAAAAAAAACCGTTTCGCAACGGTTTTTTAATATTTTAATAAAAAACGTTTGCGAAACGTTTTTTTATTGCAATTTAATGAAAAAAAAACCAGTTCACAACAGTTTTTTAATATTTTGATAAAAAAATGTTGCGAAACGTTTTTTTATTTCAATTTAATGAAAAAAAAACCGTTTCGCACCGGTTTTTTAATATTTTGATAAAAAACGTTGCAAAACGTTTTTTTATTTCAATTTAATGAAAAAAAAACCGTTTCACAACGGTTTTTTAATATTTTGATAAAAAAACGTTGCGAAACGTTTTTTTATTTCAATTTAATGAAAAAAAAACCGTTTCGCAACGGTTTTT